AGCCACCCAGGCGCCCCAAAGGAATAGTATTTTTTTTTTTTTAGGAATAGTATTTTAAAGGAAATTCTTTAAAAAATATGTTTCTAAAATGAAGGAGAAATAAGGTATTTTCAGAAACACAAAAAAGTAATTCATTAGCATTACAGAAGGAGACCCATTAAGGAAAATTAAGGGCTATTCCTCAGGGGGAAGAATAATGACAGATAAAAAGGCAAGATATAGAGAAGAACAGAGGGGGTCCTAGGTAGCTCAGTTAGTTGGGTGTCTGGCTGTTCATCTCTGCTCAGGTCATGATCTTACAGTTCATGGGATCCAGCTCCATGTTGTGCTCTGTGCTGGCAGTGCGGAGACTGCTTGGGATTCTCTCTCTCCCTTTGCCTCTCTCCTACTCACGCACACATGCGTGCTCTTTCTCAAAATAAATACTTTAAAAAAATTTTTTAATGTTAAGTATGTGAAAAAATCTAAATAAATAATGGCTATATACAATACCAATAATATGTCTTATATGGTTAAAAATGTGTGTAAAATTGTAAAACACAATAAAAACATGATAATTTAAATCAAAATAAGAGTAAATAAAGTTAAAGGGACCTAAGATCTTTGCATTGCTTAGAAGAGAGTAAAAATACTAAATAATAATTAGATTTTGATAAGTCAAAGATGAATGTTTTACTATCTTAATGACTTATACTAAAAATGTGTATAACATACACACTACCCATATAATATATAAATATACACTAAAATGTATGTAACTTCTTAGCCACTAAGGGGGGGGGGGGCAAGGTGTGGGGGCTTCGGTGTTAAATAATAAAAAACATTATCAGACCAAACACAGATGCAATGCAGAAAGGGGAACAGAGAACAGGAGGGACAAATAAAAACCACGAGAATTTGATCACTTTAAATAAAAATACATCATAAACTGCCTTGTAAATACCTAAAGGATCCAAATAATCATATTGGAATTTTAAAAAACTACTTACAACTTATAAGAAATATATTGAAAATATAAGAATACAGAAAGACTGAGGGTAAAAGGCTAAAAAAGATACACTAAGCAAACACTAACTTTACCGCAGAACTGCAGGAGACATTCTTTTAGTCATACATTAAACATTTATAAAATCCAATCATATACTAAGTCATATGATCACATGCAAGTTTCAGAAAATGTCAAAGATCAATCAGAATACACACTCTGAATGCAATACAGAAACAAGTAAAAATGTTGATGTGTTTGAAAATTTAAAAACCAATGAATACAAAAAAATAATCCTAAATGGAATTTTAAAAATACTACTACTACACAGCAGTATTGCAGAAAACAGCTTAAGCCTTGCTTAAAGATAAATTTAAATTTTTAAGTTCATATATTAAAAAAGACAGAGCAAGAAAATGAGATAAACATTAACCTCAAGATGGGGGGGGGTGGGGGGGAATCAACCTAAATCCAAATTCCATAGGAAAAAGAAAGAAAAAGATATGAAAAACAACAAACCAAGCCAAAATTTGTCTCTCTGAAAAAACTTTAAAAAAAGAAGCGAGACAGAGAGAGAGAGAATAATTAAATTGACAAACCTATGGCAGGCTGAATAAGAAAAAAAGGAAAGTATTCTAAATTAGCCTTGAAAAGGAGATAACTCTACATTTTACAAATCTACATAAAGATAAGAAAATAATAAAAGTTAGAATTAGGGGCGCCTGGGTGGCGCAGTCGGTTAAGCATCCGACTTCAGTCAGGTCACGATCTCGCGGTCCGGGAATTCGAGCCCCGCGTCAGGCTCTGGGCTGATGGCTCAGAGCCTGGAGCCTGTTTCCGATTCTGTGTCTCCCTCTCTATCTGCCCCTTCCCCCGTTCATGCTCTGTCTCTCTCTGTCCCAAAAATAAATAAACCTTGAAAAAAAAAAAATTAAAAAAAAAAAGTTAGAATTAGACAACAATTTCCTCAACATGATAAAGGCTATTTATGAAAAACCCACAGCTAACATGCTCAATGTTAACACACTGAAAGCTTTCCCCCTAAGATCAGGAGTAGGAAAAGGATGCCCAACTTTGCCACTTCCATTCAACTTCGTACTGGAAGAACTAGCTAAAGCAGGAAAAAGAAATATAAGGCATTCAAATCAGAAAGGAAGAAGTGAAATGATCTTGGTGCATAGATACTATGCTTACATGTAGAAAAAAATTTTTAAAAAACACCAAAAAAAAAAACTGTAGGAGACAATAAATAAATTCAGCAAAGATGCTGGATACTAACTCAACACACAAAATGTGTTGAAAGTGTAGTGTATATTTCTATATACTAACAAAAAATATTCCAAAAAGGAAACTAAGAATTCCATTTAATATGGCATAAAAATACTTAGGAATAAATTTAATCAAGAAGGCACAGACTTATAAGCTGAAATATCACAAAATATTGCTGAAAGAAAAACTGCTGAAAGAAGGTCTAGTAAATAAATGGAAAAGATATCCCTCATTCATAGATTGGAAGACTTAATATGATTAAAATGACAATTCTGCCCAAAGCAATAAGGAAATTCAATGCAATTCCTATACAAATAATGCTTATAAAAACAGAAATATTCATCCCCAAATTCATATTGAATTTTAAGGGATACCAAATATTCAAAACAATCTTGAAAAAGAACAACTTTGGAGGATTCACACTTCCCAATTTCAAAAACTTACTACAAAGTTACCATCATCACAATGTATGGTTTGCTACTGGCATAAGGATAAGCAAATAAACAATAAAACAGAACTGGGAGCCCAAAAATAAACTCTCACATCTATGTTCAATTGATTTTCAAAAAGGGTACCAAGACCATTCAATGGTGAAAAGATAGTCTTTTCAACAGTTTCGGGAAACTAGACTGCACACATGTGCAGTAAATGAAACTGAACTCTTACACTATACCATGTACAAAAATTAACTCAAAATGGATCAAAACCTAAGTTTAAGAGCTAAAACTATATAACCTATTAGAAAGAAAAATAGGTATTAATCTTCATTCATGACTTTGGATTTATTGACGCCGAAAGCAAATATGACACCAAATACACAGACAACTAAAGAAATAATAGATAAAATGGATTTCATTAACATTAAAAACTTATGTATCATAGAAGCCTATCAAGAAAGTGAAAAGACAACCCAAAGAAGGAGATGAAATATTTGCAAATCACCTATCTCCTAGGGTTTGATGTGCAGAATATTTTAAGAATTTCTATAACTCAACATCAAAAGTTTAAAAAGGGGTAAAACACAAAAAATAAATAAACATTAAAAAAATTAAAAAGGGGCGTCTGGTGGCTCAGTCAGTTAAGCATCCGACTTCGGCTCAGGTCATGATCTCGCAGTTCATGAGTTTGAGTCCCGCCTCAGGCTCTGTGCTGACAACTCAGAGCCTGCTTTGGAATCTGTCTCCCTCTCTGTTCATCTCCCATTTGCACTCTGTCTTTCTCTCTCAAAAATAAAAATTAAAAAAAAAATGTTTTTTAATGCACAAAGGACTTAAATAGATATATTCCAAAAAAAGCTATGGCCAAAATGACAAGGAAAGAGGCTCAATGTCATTTGTCATTAGGGAAACTTAAAATCAGATGGCTGTAATTAAAAAAAATAATAATAATAAATAACAAATGTTGGTAAGGAGATGGAGAAATTAGAACCCTTATATATTACTAGTGGGAATATAAAATGGTGCAGCCAATTTTGGCATTTTCTCAAAAAGTTAAAGAACTACCATATGACCCTGCAATTCCACTACCAATTTAAAAAACAAGGACTCAAACAGATTTGTACACCAATATTCACAGTAACATTATTCACAATAGCTGAAAGGCAGAAACAACCCAAATGTTCATTAATGGATGAATGTATAAACAACATGTAGTATGTACGTACAATGACATATTATTCAGCTATAAAAAGAAGTATCCACATGCTACAACATGGATAAACCTTGGAAAAATAATCCTAAGTAAAATAAGCCAGACACAAAAAGGCAAATTTTGGTTCCACGTATATGAGGTACATGTTGTTATCAAATTTATGGAGACAGAAAGCAGATTAAAGGTTGCCAGGGGCTGGAGGAGAGGAGAATGGAGAATTACTGCTTAATGGTACAGAGTTTCTTTTTGGAGCAGTGAAAAAGTTTCGGAAATAAATAGTGGTGATAGTTGTACAACATTCTCTGAACTGTTACACTTCAAAGTGAGTAATATGGCAAATTTTATGTTGTATTCTGCCACAACAAAAAATTATAATAAAAGATACACAAATAAAAAGTCTCACTCTTCATCTATCCAATTCCACACCCCATCGAATAAAACACTTCTTAGTTTCTTAAGATCTTTTTAATGTTCTTTATGAAAATACAAGCAAAGAAATCCTGTTATTCAATTCTCACAGTGCCTCACTGCTTGAAAAAAAAAGATACCAAGTTACCAAGTGTGTAAGATCATGTTTCCTGTTTTACTGTGTACACTATGCAGTGCTCACCATATAAACATGACCTTTAAAGAGTAAACTAAATATATATGTGTGCACAATGATTTCATTAATAATATTTTATTAAAAAAAAACAACCATTCTATCATACCTGGTTCATTTATTCTGCCAAATGTATGCCTGGTGTTGTGTTTTCTGGTCTTAAAACATGTTTCACAAAAATCAAAGTCATCACAGTTTCTGCATTTGAATCTAGATCCATTGATAGGAAACATCTGACAGCCATCACACCTATTTTTTAAAAAACCATTGAGTTGATAAGAAAAAGATAAGGCCGTTTATTAAATTTAATTACAAAGAAAAACATTCCCCCAAAACAAATCTAGTGATATAAAAATTAACTCACGTAACCCCAGGATGAACACTAGGCACCAACTCCATTTCTGATAACAGCCCGGTCCAGTGAGACTGCTGAGGGAAGTCGACAATGACATCTTTTCCATTTGCACTGAAAGCTAGGACAAAATAGAAATTGCTGAAACATCTCAGTCACCAATAAAAACCTAAAATTAAAATTAAAACCATACCTAACTACTCATGTGATAATTACATTATAGTTATTTATGTTTTACCAAGAGTATTTCTCTTTTAGAGAGACATACTAAGATACTTATGGACGAACTAACACATGGTGTCCATAAGGGATTAGCTTTAAAATAACCAAGGGCGGGGATCATGGATGAAACAACTTTGACCAGGGGCTGACAACTGTTGAAGCCAAGTGATGGGCACACGGAGGCTCATTACACTATATTCTCTACTTGTATATGTTTGAAATTTTCCACAATATGGTTACTTTGTTTTTAATTACATCAAGTCAAAAACTCCATTTAGTATCTTAGGAAATAAAACTAATAATAATGTTAAGAGATCTCTTGACCTTGGGTGAGAGCACTCTGCTACAAAATATTAACTTCTGAACCAAGTTCTTATTTTCAAAATTTATCATGAGGAGCACCTGGGTGACTTAGCCAGTTAAGCATCCAACTTTGGCTCAGGTCATGATCTCACAGTTTGTGAGTTAGAGCCCCTCATCAGGCTCTGTGCTGACAGCTCAGAGCATGGAGCCTGCTTCTGATTCTGTCTGTCTGTCTATCTGTCTCTCTCTCTGCTCCCTGCCCACTCACGTTCTGTCTCTCTCTCAAAAATAAACATTAAAATTATATGATTTCATTCATATGTGGAATTTAAGAAACAAAACAGATGAACATAAGGGAAGGGAAGCAAAAATAAGATAAAAACAGAAAGGAGGCAAGTCATAAGAGACTCTTAAATACAGAGAACAAACTGAGGGTTGCTGGAGAGGTACTGGGTGGGGAGGATGGAGTAAATGGGTGATGGGCATTAAGGTACTTGTTGCCATGAGCAATGAGTGCTATATGTAAGTGATGAATCACTAAATTCTACTATTAAAATCATTATTACATTATTATGTTAGAATTTGGATTTCAATAAAATTTTAAAAAATAATAATAAATTTTAAAAAAGAAGTACATGGCACAAGAACAGACACTCAGATCAGTGGAACAGAATAGAGAACCCAGAAATGGACCCACAAACGTATGGCCAACTAATCTTTCACAAAGCAGGAAAAAAGACAGTCTCTTCAGCAACTGGTGCTGGGAAAACTGGACAGCAACATGCAGAAGAATGAACCTGGACCACTTTCCTACACCATACACAAAAATAAACTCAAAATGGATGAAAGACCTAAACGTAAGACAGAAAGCCATCAAAATCCTC